GCATGAATCGTGTACATATTTGAGTATAAATAATTAAGAAACGAATATCATATGTATGAACTTTAGAAACACTTCAGTGGAGGAAACCAATTTTCAACCTATTCTTATATAAATTATATATGTATACATATTTAAATATATGTGGCCTATATATAAATCATGATATAATATATATATGGCCTATATAATAAATAATGAAACAATATTAGTATTGTTGCTTTTTACTGAGCAACAAACGATTGAATCGATGGCATGAATCGTGTACATATTTGAGTATATAGAATTAAGAAACGAAAATCAAATGTATGAACGTTAGAAATGCTTCAGTGGAGAAACCGATTTTCAGCCTATTCTTATATAAATTATATATATATGTAGGCCTATACATATTTAAATATACATGGCCTATATATAAATTATGATATAATAGATAAAATACAAACTAGCTTTATATATAATAATAATAAGAAACGAATACCATACTTTATTGGAGAAGTTCAATCTATCGAAAGTTTTGATTGGAGCAATGGTTTTATTATATTATTATGATGTTTACAATTCTTAACGTGACTTCAACTTATTTATTTTTTTCAATAGTTATTTTTTAAGTAGTTTTATATAGTGTGTAGGCCTATATATAAAACATGAAAAAGAGGGCCGAGTTAACCTGCCGGGCCGAGTTGACTGGGGCCTTGACTCGAAAGCTTTGTATTTAGCGAGCGGTATTGTATTATTAATTGTGAATGCGTCATCGGCGTTCCATACATATACACGCATTTGGCGGCCGGCCGCTATAGGTAGCGGCCGATATGGGCCCGGCCGCTATAGGTAGCGGCCGATATGGGCCTACTCCCTCAATCTGAACTGCTATTTTATGACATTCTCAGTGAAACACTACTACTGTTTTTTTTATATAGTAGGCCCAGTTACTGTATATCTCCGCGGGAAGCTATAATGTTACCATATTTTTTCAAACGTTCAGGGCCGCGCGCAGGATTTTTATTGGGTGGTTGCGAATTTGTAGAGATTAGACCAGGGGAGCTTAGGGAACCCCCGCTGGGATCAAGGGGCGGAGCTCAGGCATTTTTGATAATTTGAGGTCTTACATTTAAAAGACGGGGTTCAAAATGTTTCCAAAAAAACTCAAAATGAAAGGGGGAGGGGGGAGGCCGGGATCCTCCCCCGGGAAAATTTTGATTCCTAGATGGCCGGAAATGAGCTTTCCCGACTTCCGAGGAATCTTTTAATGACCTTTAAGTTCTTCAAAATTCAAGGTTTTCCCCCTCTTGAAAACTGTCAGGTAATTTTATCTCATTCTTTAGGCCTATCATAGAGGGAAAAAAATCAGGCAATGTATTATTGTATTCCAACAACATTGATCGATGAACGCACTTTCGTACATAAATTATTACGACGGCAAACCAGAAACAGTGTGATATAGGCCTAATTTATTTAATTGAAAACTAGTTGGGCTAAGCCTAGTTTGTCTGATCTTCCAACCATGCCTAGGTTAGCATGCCTTTTGTAAGCCAGGACCCAGTTGTATTTTGTTTCGTTTCTCCACAGAGGGGGGTTCGTCTGAACCCCTTGAACCCCCCCCCCCGGATCCGCCACTGAGTCTTATAAGCCATTTAATATCTGAAGACCTGCATGTATTACACAGTTTTCAGTGGCGGATCCCGGAATTTGAAAAGGGAGCCAGGGAGAGGCTTTCACAGGTGGAAGATATAAAACCTCAGCCCCACATAGTTGGGGCTGAGGGAGAATATATTATGATTATGGCATCTCCAAATGGCCGGAGATTGCACTCTCATACAATCTGAATATCATTTTCTTCTTTTAGCAATTTTTTTTCCATTTTGACGAGTGGGCCTCTTTGAATGCGTATCTTGGAATCTAATCTTGTATATATACCCGTCGCAAATTTGATGTCATTAAAAGACACCTCAGAAGTCTGGAAAGCTCATCAAGGGATCAAAATTTTCTCGTGGGAGGACCGCCGCACTAGCTTTTCTTTGGGGTTCATCGATTCATGGCAAAAAGAATACGTATGCAACTACTCAATTTTTTATGTACGTATGTATACACACATAAATAGACTTATTTACTGTAATAAGAATGAGAAAGTTTACCTGACTGTTTTCAAGAGGGGGTGGGGGTCAACTTGAATTTTGAAGAACTTAAAAGTCAATAAAAGACACCTCAGAAGCCGGAAAAGCTCACTTCCCGCCATCTAGGAACTAAAATTTTCCCGGGGAGGACCCCCTCCCCCCCCATTTATTTTTGGAATTTTTGTAAGGAAATGTGGAAACCCCCTTTGGAAACCCCCCCCCCCCCAATGTGAACCCAGATCCGCCACTGGAACCATAACATGATGTGAAAGTTTACAATGACACTAATATGGTTAGGTAACGTAATAGTTCACTTTCTGATAAGACACAGCTGTCGCAGTATTGTTTTTAGTTATTTAAAAATATGTAGGCCTACGTAACAAATTCTACAATGGAATGACAGTCATTTTAAGGGCGCTACACTTGTTGTGAATGTTGCATAATAGCGCAATTTTCTAAAAACAATAACAATAAAGGACGCCCCAGTCTGTGATGATTAACCAATGACTCTCTCAGTGTGCAAGTACCATTCATACAGAAAGGCGTGTACTGCAATATTACCTCAATATTTGGTGTGTGAAAGGTTTATACCGGTAAGTGTAACGGTACTATCATCGCAATATTGCCAGAGCCTCTGGCTGAAAACGGCTTAAGTTTATTCATTATGAGTCTACTACAAATAAGTTGTATGCAAAACAAATCTGACAAATTAGCCGATTTATTGAATATAGGGTTATACATGTAAGTGTCATTCAAGTACATGTTATCTTTACTATGAATGAATATTATGATTCATTGATTCATGTTGAAATCATTCCCTGTTGTCACTAAGAAAATCTGGTATATTCCTAAAGTCTAACCTGATATTGTTTATTGCAACATGGGTAGACAAGAGAATAACAAATATAGCTTATTTCTTGCAAAATATTTAAATAGATAAAAATTGTATTTAATTGAGTGCAGACTCAATTGCAAAAATATCTTTCAATAATTGTTTTCCAACACCAAGAAGTGCACAGATGCGCTTATGTTTTAATTACAGACTAATAATTTCAATACATTTTATCATGTTCAAATTCAATTTATAATGTATTTCAGATTTGTTTAAATTCATTCAAATATTGTAAATTCCAAAAATATTTCTTCTTGTTATTTGGAAATTGTTTGTTTTATATTTATTTCATGGACCACTTGTTAGAACATATTTTTTTTAATGAAAACGTTATTCTTTTTAAATTAAACGTTATTAATTAATTAATTAACCTATCTGCTGCATATGCCTACGTGCGGTACACCCAACTTGGAAACCCCATTACAACAATCCACCCATCTACATGGATATGATATTATCATCAACCACTCAATAATCATTATTTATAACATGACCATTGGCTTATCTAAAAGTCTTAAAATGGCAGGGGTGATGGTGGGGAAGCGGCGAAGTTGAGTGGTGCTCGATGATTATGCGAGGCTTTGCTAGTTTGCATAAATAAAAATCGTATATTTTAGGTGATGTAAGCTAATTTTTCTTCTTTTTTTTGTGGGGGGGGGGGGTTGGAGTGGGGAACTGTGCTGGCTGGACCACCTTTGAATCTGCCACTGTGTGTACTGGGTATGGCCCACTTATTTGTATACAATGTAACTGAAACAGCATCATCACAATCTTGACATAACAACGTTATTACCAAGGACATCTTGGTACCAACGTCACCTGTTTTTAAATCTATTTTTATACTTCATTTTAATTCCTGGCAATTCTGGGTCTTCCTTGTGATGGTGAGCTACTGCGCCATGCTGTAATTGATAGTTGCATAGCACCCTCAATGGCTTCACAAGGATCTGTATCAATGATAAAGAGGCAATAATGACCATAAAAATCGAATGACTGGAGTCGGTTTGATATTAGATCAATCTGTTTGTACTGAAAACAGTGATAGATTAGCTCCAGCTTTTAAGGGTGCATCTACTGTTTCAAAAAAAATATAGAGGTGCTCTATTTCCTGATTATTTCATAAAGGGCACCATATACATTTTTTTTAATCACGCATCATACACAAACAAAGTTGGCAGGCATATCATTATCTTCATTAATGCCAAACCTTATACAATCATGAATGAACATAGCCTCTTGGGTCCTGGTGGCATCATATGATGACATTTGTTTGGGTCAAGGTCACTTTGTTGTAATTAACACTACCTGGCTAGAATTACTGTCTGATGTTCCAGAAAAGGTGTCTGCTTCCCTCTCTAGTTGGATTTACCAATCATTGCCTAACAATCTCATGAAATGCAAAGTTGTTGTGGGTTTTTTTTTTGGATTTGGCTTGAAATGTCCTATTTCAGCCTTTAAAACAATGATTTTTTGAATACTTTAATGTTGGGTCTCAAGAGGTTAAAGAAACCAAACACACACCAGATATGTTGGAATGTTTTTGCACTGACCTCACGGATCTCTTCATTCTCTTCAAGAATCGAAAGTGCAATAGCAGTAGACTCGCAAGTTGATAGGGACATCTTTGTAGGTTGTGTCCTTATAACATATTCACTCAGCCCAACATCTTTAAGCTGCACCTAACAAAAGAAAACAATAACACGTCTAAAAGTGAAACCTGATCTGACATCTATTGCGTTCTAGTTCTGAACTCATACCATAATAGCCCGAAAGGTCCACTGATTAATCTCAGATAAGATAGTATAATACGTACTCCAAGTATCGAAATGCACGCCATCATGTTGGGATTGAATCCCGATACTTGGAGTATGTATTATACTATCATACCATAGAGACCTGGTTTAGGGGTTAGGCCAGGTGTTATGATAGATGGCCAAACATGTTTTGGTCAGGTGTCATGATAGATGGCCAAACATGCATTGGCCGTGTATCAGGTGGCCTAACATGCATTGGCCAGGTATCGGGTGTTACGACTGTATGACAGATGTCACAGTCATGTACTTGTCTGTCCAGGCATAGATATATTATACTGTAGTAAACTGGAGAACACTGCTGCTTATTTGCTGATAAGGCAATTACTACAAAGAGATCCGACACGATATTATGGTCTATTGATGTTCAATCATTCTGACCGCTGAGCATGCGCAGAACTAGATTTGCTGAGGCATCAACAGGACCTGGGTATTGGGAAAGGACAGACAAAACTGTAGATCTTTTTACAGCAAGCGCAGTATCTCAGTTTAAGCATTTCTTAGTAACGAAAACATTGATATCAAGTGCAATTTATTGTTGAAAAAGTTATTGAAAACCGCGTTTAAATCCAATTATTCAGTCAATTTCTATGTACAATCAAAGTATAGGCATGTCTTATTGTTTCTAGAGAATATTATTTAAAAAAAATGATATTTATTGGATTTCTCATTTGTTCTCACAAATGGGACCTGTCTTGTTCGACAGAATAGATGTTTTACATTAATTTGTCAATATGAACTGTGCCTACTTGTGCCTATTCTTGGTCCACGCGAAGCGCTGACTCACTGCTGTCCTTGTTGTTGTTATTCTTGTTACCAAAATTTTAAAAGCATCCAGCGTCGCCAGTTTTGAACGGACGTACATGAAATTTTGTACACATAAACTAAAGGTGATTTCCAACAAACGTTAATCGGCCTTTTTTTAAGGTTTGTCCCCAGGTATCCCCCTACACCTACAAAAAAAAACAGGGGTTTCAAACTTTAAAAGTGTCCAGCGTCGCCAGTTTTGAACGGACGTGCAGGAAATTTTGTACACATAAACTAGAGGTAATTTATAACAAACGTTCATCGCCCTTTCTTTAAGTTTGTCCCCTGGGTTCCCCCTACACCTACAAAACAAAACAGGGGTTTCAAACTTCAAGCGTCGCCAGTTTTGAACAAACGTGCTGGAAATTTTGTACACAAACTGGAGGTGATTTCCAACAAACGTTCATCGCCCTTTTTCTAAGTTAGACCCCAGGGTTCCCCTACACTTACAAAACAAAACAAGGGTTTCAAACTTTAAAAGCGTCCAGCGTCGCCTTTTACTGCCATTTACCACTACTGTAATTGTGCACGTCACATGAATGCATTGCATGAACACATCTTTAACCGTGGTCGGTTAAGGATGGTTCTAAAGAACTTAAGTTTGTGAGTTCGAAACACGAATTCAATTTTTTTCCCCAATACTAAAAATATTTTTTTTTCAATTTTAATTATTTTAGTTTTGTACAAATGATCATTCTAAATTATGTTTTTTTTTTCTTGTACAAATAAACATTCTAATTATTTAAAAATTACTGTACATTATTGCCATTACCACTAATAGGGCACGTCGCATGAATGGTGCGATCGGTTAACGATGTGTTCTAAAGAACTTAAGTTCACTTGTACTAGTAGTAGGCCCACAATAAGAGGGGGCTGGGGCATAGGGAGAGAGGATTGGTGTATTTTATTATGGAGTTTAGTTATTTAAGGTTGATAGCTAAACCTACCAGGCCTAATAAAATTATAATTTTAATTCTTTATGTACATAAGGAATGGTATAATATTGTTAAATTCAGTATAGTTATTTATTTCTTTCTTTTAAATATTAGCACGGCGGTCAGACTTCTTTGTTAAATTTGGAAAGAGCCTTGTGATATCTCAATGGTTTGCTGATTTGGTTCCTGAAAACCCCAAAACCAGTGAGGAGCCTACGAAACCATAGGAAATATAAAGTACCTCGGTGCAGAACCAACTGTTTATCCAACTCAACACTGCCAAGTGCAATTCATTTGCTGAACGACTGGAGCAGCTACAATTTTAAATCATCAAGTACTTGTTAGGCCTATATAATAGTATATTTTTAATTTTAATGAATATATATATAATATGAAAGAATGATTTTTTAAAAATTTCTAATTGTACATATATATTTAAATAAGCAATAAAATATATAAATATATAAGCAATAAAAATAACATTTTTTCATGTATATAGATTTTTATTAATTAATTAATGTATGTAGATTGAATTGAATTGATAGTCCTGAAGTTTGGTGTTCATTATGTGTGGTGTCTGATGTTTTATCTTATATATGTTTTCATTTGTTCATATTGTAAAGTCAAAGTATTTCAACCTTTGTTGCATTTTGAGAATTTTATACCAAAAAAATGATTTGATATGCTGATTTGTGCTTTAGCTGCTCTTCGTAAGTGGTAACTGTACAAATACTCTTAGAAACCAGAGCAACCAACTATACTGTCCGAGGATGAAACCTTTGCCGAAAAAAAACAAACGATCGTCGAGGCAAATACATTTTGGAATCGAATGCAGAAGTTTGTTTCAAATGTAGATTTAATGATCAATAAACAAATTTAAAAAGAATGCACAGCATATCAAAATGAAATTAAACTTTGTATAAATATTATCTTGATTGTTCATTATAAAATTAATGTTTAGTTAACAAATTAGTAAAAGCAATAAACAGCATCTGTACAGTATAAATAAATTCAGTACAAAATCTCATAATGTCCGTAGTAGTTGTTCATTGTGAATATCTGAGTTGAAAATAGAAGATATTTGATGCATAGCAGCAAATGAAAATAAAATTAGTATTACTATGGAGACAATTTTGAGGACCTAAACAGGCCGTAGACATCCAAGGGCCTTGGCCTAGCATTTCTCGAAAAAATCTCAATGTTTCGGGGCTACTTTTTGGAGCATCAGCTAACCAATGGCAAAACTCAAATTCTCAAATTTCCAATCAATTTGGTATAGTTTCTGGCATTCCAATCAACATTATTCAACATCAAAATATGTGCTTTACAGCACAAACATCCCAAGAAAGCCACACGTATTCCTATACCGAGCGTCGCTCGCCCTGCAAAATTGATACCCAAATACAAAACTGATACCCACTATACATCGCGTGAACACAGATTTTTATCAGCGCGGTTGGAATGATCGTCAAAGAACTGAATTCATGTTGTTTCTCCAGTTTACTATAATACCACCATGGTCCAGGTGACATGAAAAACGGTGGAGCCACATTGCGTTATACTTTAATTACATATTTTGTAGCACTGTGTTGAAGTTCAAAAATTTGATAATATTAGTACCTTCTTGATTGAATGTAACATTTTATTCTTAGCATACAGTCCCTTCGCCTGAGGCCACGTTCCATCTAGGAGGATCAGATTATAGTGGGCCATCCCATTGCCAACTGGAATCTCCTCAATATCCACTGCATCAGCACCAGGAAAAAGCAGGAGAGAATTCTCATCAGAACAGATAGATGCCAGCTCTGTGTACCTTCAAAATAGACAGTAATTATATAGGCCTATTTAATATGTTTCAATGTAGTATGCATCAGGGTGAAGGGGCGGGGGAGAAACATTAACAAGGCTACAGTACTGCCTATATATCTATGTTAAAGTTAAAGGAAATTTGCAATTTGACTAAATAAATGTTTGTTCTTCTGAATTCACCCATATTAGTTATACATTCCAGGTTGGAAAAAAGTGACCAAGCACCCCTCATGGCAGTTTTTATATTGGATTGGTATTTCTACGCATTGTGTATTCATAATTGTTTTGTTGTGTTAATTTATTTTATCAATATTCATTTCACTTGCAAAAGAAAATGTTAAAAATTAACTTTGATTTAACTGTAAATTCTACCTTGACGAGGAAAAATTTCTGCCAATTATTACTTTGCATTTATCTTCCTGAAGACAACAGCTCAAAATGGGAACTGTCCTCAGCACTTTAGATTCCTCTGATGGATGCTGTATGATAATTACATTTGTTGATATCTTCAATCTTTCTTTAGGAAATGCAGCACAAATACACACCTTTGTAGGACGGCTACAGAAAAAAACAATTTCAATAATATTAAAAACCAAATCGGGCATGAGTAACCATCATTGATATACAACTACTACACCACCAATTATTGTCAATCCCCTTACACCACACTTTGGGATTAAACAGTGGCACATCTATGAGATTGAAATGGGGAAGGGGAAGGAGTGAGGATGGGGATGGAAACTGAAGTGGGGGCTTGATGAAGTGAGGGAAGCTTTTTAAATACTAAGTGTAATTTTTTTGCTTCTACCATTTCCAGTCAGGGAGACTGGTGGGAGGGGGAGGGGCACACACGTTTTACTTTTTACTGGGATTAAAACAACACAGACATTCTGACTACCTTTCAATTCAAGTGCATCATAAAAATTCAATGGTTTGAACATGAATCCACTATTAGCAACTTTTTAAGACTTTCCGCAGGAATTTCAATAGTCTAAACTTATTTAATTAAAAAGCCACTGTTTGTGCATGTAGGAATAATCAAGATTACTTCTACTGGATAATTAACAGATAATAAATTCAGTGCATCAAGGATTCTGTTCTCTGGTGAATTTACTCAGTTTCAATTTCGTAAATCTTGAATGAAATAAATATATATTCTTTATATTTTATATAGGGCCATCTACTAGTACCTGCAGTTATCACATATTTTCCTCTTGGGAACTGGACTGGATGGCAAGGCTGAAAACTCATCTAAAACTTCATCAAATGATTCTTCATCATTTTCAGATGATACTGAATCAGCTAATGTATCCATTTATTAGAATATCTTTATCACTTATAAATATTAGCACACCATCTACAGATCGTTATTGCTGTAAATATAGCCTGTAAATAAAAAGTAAAATGGTTTTTATGCATCAATTTCAATGCGCCAGTAGTCTTCATAAAAAAATTAACCAAATTAAAATTCAAATATGATCTGTATGCCTATATGATAACCGATACTACTCAAAAAGTCCAGGAACACAGCCACAGAAATGTTAGGCCCTATTTAAAAAAAATTATTAGTTTATCATCCCCTCTTCTGTCTTCTATAGTACTAGAAAAAAAAAATTGTGAAAAAAAAAAAAAAAAGTTTTTTAGTAAATAGTATAATCTCAATCATGTATTTTACTTTGAATATCAATGCACGAGCAAGATGTTATTGATTTTGAATCCCTGATATTCCAATTCTGTCATTTTACAACTCAAATCAGTAGGACAGTCGATAGGCGATTTGTCCGTTATATCGCGATTTTTCGATCTTACTTCCGCATTTGCTTTGCGCAGCCCCACCTATCGTTTCAAAGCATAACCATGTTTTAGCGTTGCTTAGCAAAAATGCATCAGCTCTATTTATAGTTCTCATTAATAGATGTTTTTTTAGAAGTATAAATCAATATCAGTAATTAATATTGACTTTGCTTTTTAATGTTTACATTATGAAAACATGATCATTAAATTTATTTATAACAGATATTTAATAAGCAAAATAATGATGTTTGATGCTAAGACCGTATAATGAATATTTTTCTTATAAGAAGCAGATTTTGTAATACCTGCATGAAATGTTGCTACCCTACTTCTAAAGTAATAAGTTCCGGCCTATATTAAAGTCTCTCTCATGGAAATGTACCATATTTATATAAATCCCCTGAAGGAGTTTTCTTTAGGAAGATGGGGGCAGGGGTGTGGTATATTCCATGATATCATAATCATATATGTATGTTTTTATATTTCATGTTAATATTTAGAAGCAGGTGTATGAAATGATTATTATTATTACAAATCATAGTCTAGAGAAAGAAAATGATTAATAAAAATAAAAATGTTGTCTTGTTCTCCTTTATAAGTTCTAAAAATCACATATATTGAGTGAAATTGTGAATGATGAACTTGTGAAGGATGGTACAGTACTTAGTTCATGTAGGCCTACACTTGTCATCAAGCCAACAAGATACAGATTTCAGAAAGATTGGAGCCATTTTTAAATAGGCATTATCCTCGCTACATATTTACGGGTACGCGAATATCTAGGCCCCCCCAATGTGCGCGGCCTAGGCCTTGTCTCTTATACACATCTAGATGTGTATAAGAGACAGGTATTAATGCTTTAAAAATTCGCCGACTTCGTAGCGAAAAAAAATCGGAGCTCGAGTGGTCTGACCATCCCTGATGAGCGCTTGGATGAGCGTCCTCTTCTAACATAAAATTTAAGCCTATTAATAGGTCTATGCTAGTCCAACGAAATGGAGGTACCCTTAGTTTCCAGAGTCGGATTTGCGTCCCAGCTACTCAATTTGTTATCTTAATATCCTAAATTATAGATTATAAATTTTTATAGCAGAAATTTTGAATTTATTTTTGATCAAATTTTTTTTGTATTTTAAATTAACGATTTTCTAGGGCACAAAATCGTAAAAATTGTGTACCACGAATTGTCCATTAAATTACACTTTATCGTTTCGGTCAAAATACACCAAAAGTATTTCACTGTATTGTTAAACTATTTATAAACATATTTCACCATTATGTTTGTTTTGTTAAGTAAGTTGTTTGATGTTTTTTCAAACACCACCAAATTTCGATAATTTGAACTAATTTCGAAAAAAATAGGGCGCCCTCTCCTAGGCGAAATTTGACACGATTTTTCCAGTGGCTTTCCTACTGAAATGTGAACCCACTTTACCTATTATTATCTCCCTGTATATAGAACAACATATACAATATACAGTTTTAAATAATTTAAAGCCCAATAACCGAAAGGTCCACTGATTAATCTCAGATAAGGAAGTATAATACATACTCCAAGTATTTCAATACTTGGAGTATGTATTATACTTTCTTAAAGCCCAATTTCCAGCAAAATTTCACTATAAAAGAATTTTTTAAAGAAAAAATGCATATGCATTACTCTATTTATTATAAACAATGGAAAAATATTGGCATAAATTTTAGTTTTACTTAATTACTTATACTTATGAATGTTATTTTGTTGACGATTTCATTATATTTTATTGTATTTGTTTCTTACTGCATTTTATATAACCTCAAAGTATTGTATTCTCATTGTAATGGTTTTTTTGTATTGATAGATCTAAATGGAAATTGAATAAAATAATTTAATCATTAATCATGTAATTAAAGCAAACATTAAAACAACAAGAATTAGAATGGAGGTAAAAATAAAATGGTGGCCTGAAACCTAGGCTCATCATGGGCTGGTCCTTGCCAAGCCCCAAGAACCAATACTTTACTTTTTAAATACAGGATCTAATGTCGTAAATAATGATATTTCTTGACCAAGCAAGTACTTGTTAAAACAAGAATTTCTATTCTTTCAAAAGCAATTATTGAACAACACACGATCCCCGACACGATCGAAGCGACAGCAAATCAACCCACATAGGGAATCCGAGAAATGGGTCGCACGTATTCTTGTAAACAAGTTATATGGAATGCCAAAAGGACAAAACACAAGTGGCGCAGTGCAAATCTAAAGTGGCACAGTGCAAAAGTCGAGTGGCGCAGTGCAAATCCAAATGCGTGTGCCGCTACTTGACTTTTGCACTGAGCCACTTGACTTTTGCACTGTGCCACTCGACGTTTGCACTGCACTTGACTTTTGCACTGCGCCACTTGTGGTTGTCCTTTTGGCGATATCACGCCAAAAGGACAAACCAAAATCACAGTGGAAAACTAAAGTGGCGCAGTGCAAACTCAAATGCGTGTGCCGCCACTTGACTTCTGCACTGCGCCAGTTGACTTTTGCACTGCACCACTTGACTTTCGCATTGCACCACTTGACTTTTGGCGATATTGTATGGAACATCAATTTTGGCATCAAAATGAAACTAAACAACAATATAAATGAATAAAAAAAAAATCAAGAACACATAATTCAATTTTTTCTTAATAATTTCACAACACGACAAAAAAATTGGGACTAAAACACCAATAGGAACGATATGAGACCTAGGCATACTTGTCGTATGTACAGTAGCCTAGCTTTTCTATTCATCGTAATTATTACCGCTATAAAGGCCTATGGCCAGGGGTGGGGGGGGGGGGGGGGGGGGGGGGGGGGGGGGGGAGGGTCTGGGGCCACATCTCCCAGTCGGGGAGTGCTGGTCCCCCTGGACCACATTCGAAACCTTTTAATCGAAGCTTGACCACGCCCACATTGTTTTCGTCTGGGAAATATGACCCCTTGTCGGGGACCTCAGGGCCCCCCACCCCGTCGGGCAAATCCTGGCGCCACCCCTGCCTATGGCACGGTTGTCAGCCATGGTCACTAGAGACAAATTAGAAGCTTTGGTAGTGACCGATTGAGAAAGAGTGACCTTTTGAGAGTGATATTAGTTTGAAATAATTTCTGTGGCTCTTTGTTTCATCATTGCCAGGCTATTTAGGGTAGACTACTCAGTTATGCTAGGGCCAGTGACAAAGGGTCGACGCAACCAACGGGTCCAGTTAGGAAGATCGATTGAATAACATACATTTTCACATTGTATTATTAAAGCTCAGATTGACATTTTCAGCATTTAATTTTATTAATTAGACCAATAATATCTTATACAGTAATGCTTTTTTTGCAAATCAAAAAATATAATGACAGATTTGTTTTTTCACTCAAATAGATTTCTTCATCTTTCCCGTTTACAGTTTGACAAAATGTAAACAATATATACAGACGGTTTTAATGATTTTTTAAATTTTTCATGAATACAATTTCAATATTACAATATTCTGTGTGATTAGACTTTTACAATGATATTAATTTTATTGTAGTCTTAGTGTGCGACAACGATTTTCTGATATTTATATATTGAAAAATAAATACTGTTTAGGCATTTTAATTATTCATATTTTATTACTGTGGCCTTTAATAATAATAATAATAATTATAATATTAATTAATAGTTCATTCTTATATATCGCAATTTACCTGTAAGCCTATAAATCATTACAACTGTACTTTAATTGTTATTGTTACCTGTGTAAAAGTATTACAGTATTATAATTATAGTCAACAGCGGTTGAATCT